GCTTTTGACAGTGAGGCAAAGAACTATTGAAACACTCCAGAATGGTACTTTAATCTTCTTGCAGTAGCACAATGGACAATTGTCTGAAACATTTTCCCAACATTTTGATCAGTAAAAACATTGACCAGATTTGCATGTTCCTATGTAAATTCTAGCAAAGAGAAATGGATGAGTAGACTATAAAAAAGAAAAAAAAAAAAGGGAAAAAAAAGGTGGTTGGAAATCACTGACAGTTTCAATTGCCTGGATAACTGCATGGTTGTATAGTCCAAGATAGAAGACGGGTAATAATAGATTAAAGCAATATGAAACCCTTTTAAAGTCCCTTTGAATTAGAAGTTCCCAAACAGTTTCTTTTGAGAAAAAAGTATCAGAGCAGTTGTAGCTCTCTGTGGCCTGTCAGTCATACAGAGGTAGTTCACAAAGAGGTCAAAATATTTGCAGAGGTTGTTGTATTAGGGAGCAGAACAGGTATTTGTTTTTCAGCTTTAATAATCTTGAATTCGTCACAACAGGAAAGTAATCTACTGCAGTGACAAGGTGTTGGCACAAACACCTCTCACTTTGTTGGGATCCCCAGCTAGTTTTACTAATGCAGAGGAAAGGACTTTCAGAAACTGTGTTTGATAGAATTTGTAATAATGTAATTTATCCTGTTCTTCAGCACAGCAAAATAGGACAAAATCACCTTAGTATTAAAAATATAAAAATGACTTCTAATCAGTCCCTCTGCTTGCAGCAGACTTCCAATTTTTGAAACAGTTTGAAGAGGCTGAGTAGCCTTACTGCTTTATGCATCATAAAGTCCAGAATGCTGCCTATATTATATGAGTCTTGATTGAGTTGGAAATGAAAAATTAACCTTATTCCAATAAAAGAGCCACATATTTCCAGCATGGGGAAAGTCAGGAGATAATTTTCCTACTGCGATGGCTGTTATTTAAAAAATGAAAATAATTAAAAAATCAAATAGAAACAGTATTTAATGAACCAGCATAATAGGCAGGTACATTTTACCACAGCCTGGACCTCCTGATTGCCCAAACCAGGGGAGCTCTCAGTGCCCATAAGGCTCCCTTACTATCCTTGTGTTTTCTTCTGAGGGAAACTGGACCATACAGGGTGGTTGCTGGATGTGGTGATCCAAACCTGTGGCTGTGCTGCAGCCAGGATCCGGGCACCGGGGCAGCAATTAGCCTTTCAGATGGTGCAAACCCCTCCAGCATGGTTGAGAGAGACGTCAGTGGAGAGGGACAGGAGATGGTAGCAGTGTCTCAGATATAAGAGATGGATGGTACTTGGTTAATGATGACCTTCTCATCTAATAGTTGATCTTATCATACAGTTGGTGACATTTGGAAAAAAAGGAGTTGAAATTTAGAGGAAGGAAACAAGGAAATATATGAAGTATATGAAGATGAAATACCTTGGGGCAACTGTAGCCACACAAGCACTGAAGAAAGAATAGTGCAAAATCATGCAAAAATGGTCATGTTTTACAGTCAGAGTATATGTCGTGAAAGAACTGAATACTTTTTAAAAATCAATATTCACACAATGGAAGTGCTGTTTTACTTTTGAGGCAGAGAGCAAAGGAGAATTTCAGAAACTGCCTTATATACAACTGCAATTAAAGAAACAAATATTAAACTGAAATGCCAGTCTATCAGACAAGCAGTATATTTCCTTTTGTCTTCTGTGCTGCAGTTACTGAAACACTAACATGCAATGCACTTACTATTATAATCCATTTCCTAAACAAAATTGAAAGACATAAGGTCAAAAGTAGAATAACAGTAGAATAAAGAGTAATTTGGAGCAGAGTTAATGGATGAATATGAGGTATCTGAGCTCTGTCTAGCAAGAAAGACAATTTCACTTCAGTTTCTAGATGTTACTTTGGTAGGCAGCTAGCAGATGCGGAGACTGAAACTCAGACAATGTGTAAATAAAACTTTTTAAAACAAATACTGTATATTAAGACATTCAGATTTAATTAAAGGTTCAATTAACTTTCCCAATTTCAAATCTAAAACATCCTGAAATAGGGTCAAATAATATTTCTGTGCTATCTGATGTGATTGAAAATGTTTCATGGGAAGTAACTTTATGTAGACCCGAGAAAAAAGAAGGTAATGATGTGATGATCTTTTTTCACATTTTATTTCCAAAATGAAGCAACCTTTAAGTTGCTTTTCTTGCTATAACAATTGTCAGTCTTCACCATATATCACTAGATTATTACTATTGCATTAGCTTTTAAAAACCCACACAATAAAGTTGTTTTATTTATGAAAATGTTTGATGTGTTATGTACAGCACACTGCCATGAAAAACATGTTTCATGAACTGAGGTTCTCCAGGTGAGGAAGTGAAAGAGATAAAAATCAAAACTACAGGTTTTTGAAATTTTCAGTGTGCTGCAGAGTGCCTCTTTGGAATAACTTTGTGCAATGCTGATACTGTTCGCCGCTTCATGGCGCTTGCATGTATTTAATTTAGAAAGAAAGGCTCATTTCCATGGACTGCTTGGCAAGCTCAGTGTGGGATCCGCAGGTTGAGGTCTGTGGTTCTGTGAATCACCACAAGTAATTATCTATCCCTTAATTGGAATGTAATTAACAATTCCATCAATGATTTACATCTGACACTATGGTCTGTCCTATTTCCCGGAGGGATGGCCGTGTCAGGCCTGTGATGCTGGCGGGTCGCGGGCTGCTCTCCGTGCGACAGCTGTCCGTGCCCGCTGTACCTCAGCTCTGCTGGGACCCAGTGCCAGCGTAGCCTGGGTGGCACGGGGTTCGCTGGGACAAGTACATCTGCTTGGCAGCCTCGGCAAATACCAAAGGCCTGAGGGCAGCTCTGCTTTGCCTTCTCTGTAGGGCACGCTGGTAGCCCAGTACACCAGGCTGTGCTTCTGTTTTAGGCTAAATCAACCCAAACTACTCTCATACCTTTGACTTCAAGGCAGAATTATTCTAGGCAGGGTTAGGTGGGTGGAACTGAATAGATGGGACTTAATATATCCATATTTTATTAGGCATGTTGTTTTCTTTTTTTCTTCTCCAAAGGGTTCAGTAGTTGCACTTTTAAAAGAAGTTGCTGGAAAAGAACAATTATTTGGTATAATTTTCCGTTATCCCTAATAATCAAGGGAGCTGTTTAATTATTGTTTTCATGTTCCTAAATGAATATATTGATAATAATATTTGCTGTCTTCTTTATCAAGCAAAAATACTAATGGCATCAATGAAAACAGTCAGTAAATATTACATTTAAACATTGTAATCGCAAAGATACCCTGTGAGTTTATGTCTGGCTAAGTGCACTCTCACACTTAAAGGCTGGGGAGGATTTGTCAATAGACACAAATGCAGTGAATTAGTAGAGCTCAGGAAGCTGGCTGCAGCTTGCACCACTGGGTTAGGTGATCCTGCAGATCGGGCTGTCCCTGGATACTCTCTGCAACAGTTGTACACAGCACAAGCATTTTTTCTTGTCTTTGTTTCATCTCCGTCTCTGAAAACAGGCAAAATGACTTATTATGTCTAAATGTAAAATTCATTTATGGTAAATAGGCACTCAACTGCTATTCTGAAATGCTATTCAGACATTGCACAGTCTCTCAAACTATTTCCCAATGTTAACACATTCCTTGCAAGGGAACAGAAGTAAATGATCTGTGTACTTCATGAAAGACAGTTATTCTAAAATTATTAAAAAGGGACAAATTTGGTAGCCAAATGTGGACACCCTTCTCTTCTGCAGGACTACATAGGTCTGCATCATGAATTATTCTCTTCAGGTGACTAAGTCTAATGTTGCTTCCCCCAAGAGTTCAACAAGCCACTGATGTATTATGCAGATTATTTTCTCCCATTGTTTTCTTTCAGTACTGTCTGTGGTGCTCTTCACATCTTTTCGTATTGTCTTCTTTCCATGTCAGCCAAATGGCTTCCTGGTGATTGTTGACAATTCTTCTTGAATTACTGGTTTTCTGAAAAGATTATCAATAGTAGCCCATCAGATTTCTGTATACACAGAAATATCTGTATATGAAGAGGAGAGGGAGGGCAAAAGATCTTTTTGCTACCAATTATATCTGCACATAGTGCAATGCAGAGTGGCACAGACTTAGCATTAATGTAAAGCTAGCTTGTGTAACAAGAACAAATAGCCATAATGTTTTGTTCATCTCTAACTTGAATGCCTTTGCACAGCACTGCGTTACGTTGTATGGGCTTACTGCTGATCGCCAGTCCCCTGCCAGTTCCAGGTGACAATTCAACAATTCAATAATTTTTAACAAGCCCAAATACAGTTGTAATTTTTTAGTTTCTGAGGCATTTGTACATTTTCAAGAACAAATCTTCTCTAGTCCTGTCCCAGCCTTTCTGACTTCCCAGCCCAGCAGTCCAGCAAGATGCGGGGTTGGTTTGCACAGCCACAACATCGCTTTGTCTTTTGGCTTGATAATTTCATCTATTTACTTTAAAAAAATAAAAATAAAGTTAACATTTGTCAACCAGAAGATTTTGTAAATAGGCTAGGGCCCAAAAGAGACATATTTTTTTATAGATAGCCTGAAGCACATTCTGTCTTCTGTTCAATCTTTCATGAGCTCAGTATTCATGGGCAAGTCACTAAGTCTCTCTGCTTTGCTCTCATGCACTGGTGAAACAGTTGTGGTAAGAATATTTTGTGGTGGTTTAGATGTCTCTGCTAAGGTTTGTGGAACCTTTGGAACAGCTGAAAGTTTTGTATAAGTCACTCTATGGATGAAGCTGGGGAGCTAATAACTTGAATCAGATAGCAAAGCAGAGTAAAGTTAATATGAACCAAGATGTAACTTGTATTCTGTATCTTTTAAAAACTTTGTTATAAAAATTCAGGCAATCTGGTGACAAAGGCAGTTTAGATAGCATCAGGGACCAGCTCCATAGCTGATTTGTGGTAATGTCACTGACAACGTCTGTATCTTCGTCCCTCTCCTCTTACAGTATCGGTCAGGACGGGATCCTCAGCGAGGCTCAGACAACGTTTCCAATAAGTCTTCAGACAGCGACGTCAGTGACGTCTCCGCCGTGTCACGGACAAGCAGCGCTTCACGTTTCAGCAGCACAAGCTACATGTCTGTCCAGTCGGAGCGGCCAAGGGGAAACAAAAAAATAAGGTGAGCACAAGGAGCCGTAGTGCCAGCCACAGCAGTGTAATTTATGTAACTGAACATTTGTCAATAGTTATAGTTCAAATTAATATTTTGCCTAGGTTGAAATTTGCAGAGAATATTTGCAAAATACTGGTTAATGCTTTTTGAAGTCTTCATGGTATTTGTTTTCAGCCAAGTTTTGTCATCTTGGATTATGCTGACATACGCTAAAATAACAAACATATGCTGTCAGCAAGCATTAGGCACACTTAGATTTGCACTTTATGAAAACTGTTTTGCAAAATACTTAATATGGCTGAAAAGACAGTTTAACTTGCAAATTTGTGCCGGCAGTGTCAGAGGATCCTAATTTCCTTTTAAACTAGAGCTGCTGAACTTTTATAGAAGTCTTATTTAGTACTTACACAGACCAATTCAGTTTAATACTTAACACTAGTCCAATTTAACTGTAGGTGTATAACCATTGAATTACTCTTCAATAAGATGTAGACAGTGTGTCTGTGAGCAAAACACAGCACCTTCTTTGCCTGTGCCCTGTGCATGTTCAGAGGAGCTTTGGCTGTAGAAGGAATGAATGATCATATTTTGGGAAGGTGTAACCCACCTGTATCTCTCAGCAAAATTCAGTGTCAGCCTACATTAATTCTCAGGAATTTGTCGTCTTGAGAGAAATGGTGCATTTGAAAAGATGGTTTAAACATCTGTTTATATGAGCATTGTTAGGACCACATTGTTTCTGTCATGCAGTTAGGTATGCATTTCTAAATGTGATGTACTGCAATGCAACTTTTATTCAAAGAGGGCCTTAGATACTGTTCTAAGAAAATGTCCTAAGGTTATCTAGTGCAGGCCGGAGTCTTAGCCAGCATGGCCTAATTATGACTGCTTCCATCTTTTAGTTTTTATTTCATTTCTTTTGCGTTTTCTTTCTTGTGAGTTCATGCATGCTCTTCTCCATGACCTTAACTTTAATTTATTCTTTTCTTTTTTCTTTTTGCATGCCTTTTTCAATTTTTGTTGACTTCAGAAGGACAAGGGATATAGAGGGAAAAAAAGAGGGAGGGCTAGAAGGGGATGAACAAGATGGAGTATTTCCTGAGGAGGAAGAAAAAGAGAAAGAGGAGGAAAAAGCAAAGGAGGAAGAAAGTAGTGAAAAAGGGGAAGGGCAAGAGGTGACAAAGAACTGTGATAAGGAGGAAATCAAAGGATCAGGGCATGATGAAAAAGCTCAAGAAGACCAAGCTGAGGAAGGGAAGGAGGATGACAGGTAAAATATACTTCTGTTTCTATAGACCTATTCTTCTTCCTCCTGTACCAGGACCCTACTTATTTTCCCTTTTTTCCCCGCTTTGCTTAGCTTATTGTCTAGCTTCTCTGCAGTTTCTTTTGCCTTCAATCATGATGCTTTCTTTCATTTTTAAGCAAGTTTCACTCTGAGCTTCAGTGAACTTGTTCTGCATACCAAATGATGCAGCATATTAACTTGACTCATCATTATGCATGCAACTACAGCATATTAATTCTTAAATTGATTTAGACTAGAGTTTGGATTTGACTGAAATAAACAATAGAGATTGTAAGATTCCCTGTGATATTCCCTGCTTGAATTATTATTTCAGGGAGAAATCTTTTGTTGAGTGGTATCAATATCAAAACCATCTTTACTTTCATTTGTGGCAGTACTAAAGAAGAGAGTTCGGATTTATTTTTTTTTTTAATCCTCTTTATGTAGGCTGATAAATATGCATATTGTTTGACAATCGACGTGGATAAGCAGAGTCTTCCCTTTCTTTTTTTGGTCTTTTTCTTTCCTGGCACCCACTAAATTCCCAGTTTAATGGACCAGGAAGTCCTGCCTCTCAAAAAGCATGACTCTCTTCCTGGTTTCCAGCTTTCACTGAGGTTGGGTTCCAGCCAAAATGCTGTCCCTCACAGAAAGTAAACTTCAAGAAACAACTTCATGTTCCCCGTGCCAGCTTGTTCCCCTGCTTGTTATCTGCTCTCTGCCTTCAGGAAGAAGCAGCACAAGTCAGGAGTCCCACTTGACAGGGAAACAAGATATTACAAAGTTAACTGCTGGGAAGTGACTGTGTTAGATTTTGGCTGCCAACATGGAGATCAGCCTAGTATTATTTCCCCACTTTGCCCATTTTGACCACTTTCAGTAAGTAAGTTGTGAATAAAAAGTCTACACATTCTTCTAGGGTAAGAAGCAAACAGAAAAGCACAGATTGATTCCTATGTAAGTATAGGTATAAGTATATGCATACATTTATATACACACATAGTTGTGTATCATTAAAATACTGAAATACCGTGACTTCTGCATTTAGTAGAAAAACCCAAAGGCAGGATCAGTCCTGAGCATTGTAAATTCAGTGCCTTCTGCTTGCCTGTTTGGCAATTTATATGATACCTTATACCTGGTATACAAGATACTTATAAGAAAAATAAACAACTTCAGCTTTCCAAAAATTTTTTTCAGGCTCACCACCAGTATTAAACAATCACCAAAGTATCCTTTAATAATTAAACATATCAATAAGTATTTGAGAGACCCAACAGAGCCAAAGCAGCCAGTTCATCCAACATAGAATAGTAGTAAATTATCAAGTTCTTGAGGAGATCTTGGTCATCAAGAAAAGCTGTATTGTAGATGGGAATTTTCAACTTACATTTTTACTTCAGAGGTGCATCTTTAGAGGAACAGCAGCCACCTTTCCTCTCGGCAATCTGGAATATAGGGGCTGCTGTCAATCACTCCATTGTTGAAAATGCACTCGTTAAGGATGCATCATACCTCTTGATGTCACTATGCTTATACACTTCATGAGTAATGGTAATAGTTACACTAAGGGCTTCAATCTGCTGAGATCATGGGTTCAGTGTAATTTAAATGACCGGGAAGACAGATATCCATCATGGATTCATCCCACGGCTATTATGAAGAGTCCCTCAGCGCAATAAAATGCATTAGCTTTTGGAGCACTGGAGCAAAATAAATCAATAAATCTTTTTTGGCAGAAATAGCTGCAGCATCAGATTTTGCCTTCATTAAACCTTGTAAAGCTAAACCTTGGCATTTGGTTGACCTATAGGGAAAACATAATTGTGTTCTTTCTTGGTAATATGTGTTAGTAAACAGAAGGAATGGATCAAGCATCCCTGTTGTAATTTTTAAGGATTCCTTATGTAAAGTTCCCTGACATTATTTCTTATTCCAGCTCCTCGATGATATCAGGGACAGAAAAAGCCCGCTTAGATCTAATGTGTGAGCATTTGTAAACTTTATTGGGGTAAATCTGTTCAAGACTGTTCTAACTCTTAACCCTCCTTAACATTTTTCTAAATATCAATCCAAAGCATTAATTCTGGTAGTCACTTCTTATCATGTGAATACAGAGCAATCATAATCACAGAGCAGGATTTCACTGTACTACACGCTGTTGAAATACAGAAGAAAAATATGACCTCTGTTCCAAGCACACAGAGTCTAAATCATGACATGACATATGAGTCCGGAGAGGGGAGCACAGGAGAATTAAGAAATGTTCCACAGGACCAGAGACAGTTACAATACTGGGCTCTTCAGGCCTCGTCCCACAGGGGACATCTTGACAACAGAAAGTGCTAAGGGGAGATTTGAAGAAAGAAAATAAGATAGCTTTTTGAATGTTTCTGGAGAGCTCTTTTCAAGCATTAGAGGCAATGAGAAAAAAACGTGAAGTGCTTGCTAAAAATATATTAAGTAGATGATGGGGCAGGTCTGATGAGCAGCAGGAGCTGATCTCTCAGTTTTGAATATGAGAACATAACTGTGATAAGGAACAACTGCTACATTACTAGAAAGTAAAGATGCATTGTGTACAACTGGATAAAAGAGAGTATAGCTTTTTACATGACACAGACAAACGGAAAGGCTATGAAACTTGTCTTTCCTACAGTATCCTGGAAAGGGGTTAGGGTATGTAAATTGCTATAGCTGGAGAAAAGCACTGCAGAAGCTGGCATCTGAAAGGGTGAGAGAGTGGACAAAACAATTAGCTGTGTGGGTGGACAGAGAAGGTAGAGAAGTGCAATAGAAAGTCACAAAAAAGTGGACCTAATGTGAAGCCTGAATCGAAAGGCTTGCCCAAATAGAAAGTCTGAATGACACACATGATCCACATGGCCAGGAGAGGAAGCAGAAGAGAGGTCTTGGAGGGAAATACTGAGTTTAACAATACTGAGTTTAATGATACTGAGTTGAGATCAGTGATTGTGGTGTAGGGAGGAAGAGAGAGGGGAGCCAAGAGGGAGTTTTCATCACAGAGGTGATAATGCTTTGATGTACTGTTGATGAAGGGATGATATATGACCAGTAGTAATAGAGGAGACAATGCTACAACCCTCTGGGAGCATCACAGATATCTGGGTGGGCAGAAAACGGGAATCTACTAGAGCACATTTTGAATGAAATGTTAGTAAAAAATGGAGAGCGGATGAATTGTGGGAACTAAGGGAAGTAACATTTCAAAGTATGGTTAATTGTAGCAAAGCGAAGAAGAAAACAGTGTGCTTTTGAAATCTTAAGAAATCATTAAAGACTTCAGCAGGAGTAGTTTCAACTGAATGCAAAAAGGGAAAGATAGTTGTTTGGGAAGTGTTTGAAATGTAATTGGAAGAGATTTACTCAAAAAATGTGTTCAATTAATTTGTAGATGAAAAGGAAAAAGGAGATGTGGCTGTAGTAGCAGAACTGATGAGACAAGACTAGAGGTTCTCTGTTACTTTCTACAGGAGTATGCTAAAGCATGTTTCTGTGATTCAGGGAGAGAGCTAGTGATGACTGGGTGGCTAGAGGTAAGAATAAAGAAAGGGGCATGGGAGGAATTGAAATAAGAGAGCATACAGTCACTCAGGCAAATCAAACAGTTGAGGAAGAGATCTAGTGAGAAATTTCTGCATCCGTGATAGGGGCAAGGGGAGAGAAAAGTTTTAAGTGGAGAATGTAGGGACAGCAC